ATTTAACTTCTTTCATATTTTCATAAACTGAAATGCATTAAATGAACTATATTTATAAACGGTGTAAAACGTCAAATGATGTAAATTATGTTGATAACTAATAAGATATTGTTGGTGAGAGATAAATAAAAACAAATGTTACTTTTTCACCAATAAGAAGTTACTAAATAATAGCATTAATGAACATTCGTCACTATAAATACAGCCAGAAATCTTCATTGGTGGCATAAAAACAAAGAAAACCAATTAAAAAACATCAAAATACTTTAAAATGGAGAATAAAACTATTTTCATGATTTTTTCTTTAATCATGGTTTTGCTATCGTTTTCTCATCCAATTTTGGCCATAGAAGGCGATAATGACGTGCCACTACTCATTTCAGACGACGAGTTTGATGCGATGATTGCAATGTCACCGACATCGGATGATTATAACGAAAATGTTGGTCGTAAATATTCAAAAAAACAAAATGATTATCTTAAGAATTGCAGTAAAAAGATGGACGTCCCATATCAATGTATCGTAGAAGTGTTAGCTGATATTATTCAGAACAAAAGTGTTTCAAGGGATTGTTGTCGGGGAATAGTGAGAGCTGGAAAAGAATGTCACATGGAATGGATGCGATTATTTTTTCAAATCTATCAACTCAAACGTTTTAGTTCTAAGCAGTTTTCCAAAACTAATGAAATCTGGAACAGATGTTCTACTGAAATTGGAGCTGTTTCACTATTTTCTGGTTAAAAAATGTAACTAATTTATTATTTGAACAATAATATTACTTCCGATTTTTGTTTTGTTTGCTTTAGTTTTTTCTTTTGCCAACAATTTGATTTGAATTTATGTATCAAACATATGACATGAAATGGCCAGCCGTGACAAGATGAAAGAAATTCTTTGGTCATATAAAGATTATCACTAACATCTTTGATTAAATAACAAACTTAAAGTGTGCATTCGTGGCCTACCCATGGTACATTATCTTTCTATATCCCAGATATGTGGCTCTGATGAAATTTAATCATGCACTATCCCAGATAGTCTATCCATAGCTAATTCATCATAAAGTCACCATCTATGGCTAATATGTAAACCTGAGTCACATTTAAGCCACGATTATGGCATACGCAAAAAAATCCATGTGGCTTTGACAATTAAACTACAATTTGACTGTAAAATTTAGCGCAAATCTTATTTGCTCGTGTTAAGAAAATTTCGATATAATTACTTTATGAATGTGAGATTAGTAAATAAATAAAAATTTATTATGAAATAACTTTATTTTGCTGATTCTTTTCCCTTTCAAGCTATAAATTTGATATGTTTGAGCAAATCCAAAATGATATTACCAAATAGGAACATATATTCAATATGGTTATGGAGAAGGGGGCCTAGGATCATAATATGATGGCGGAGGACTTTTTTTGCAACAACAAGTTTTGCCTCCATTTAAACATATTCCTCCATAACTTGTCTCGTCGCACTGTTTTTTGCACTCGGCACATGATATATTTAGATCTAAACATATGAGCATTTGGTACGAATTTGCTTGTCCTGTAATTGATATTATATAAAAAAAAACAAGCATAACCATATATTCAAAGATCGCCCACCATCACAAATATCAGTTTTTGTATTTGAATATTATGAACCAAATGACTTACGTGAGATGAAAAGCAAGAAAATGGTTGATATCAGAAGAAAATATGTTCCATAAGCATCTGATGATTTCTTGCTTTTCATTTTCCGTAGATATCTAATTTCTTCTCTTATAATATTTTTGTTTCTCTCTTTTTTTTTTTTCAGTTTGGTTGTAGATCATTTTTGATGTTCTTGCTTACATAAGTGTTATAAATATGATGGGTCAAACTCAAAAATTAATGAAACAAAAGTCAAAACACAAATTTGTTTCCATACAATTTTATTTTGTAGTCCTAGTATGACAAATGTTGACTCAAAATAAAAAATGAGCTTTTGTCAAAATAATTTAAGTTGAGATATCTAGTACTCCTTGATAAATAAATGAGCTTTTGTCAAAATAATTTAAGTCACAAAATTATATGTTTAGATTTCAACCATTTAAAAATTCCCTAGATTACAAAAGGGACTTTCTCTCTTTTCTCTCTCAATCCTTCAGAGAGAGGAAGTCTTCTCCGACACTCAAACTTGGCTCCGGCAATGGCCAGCTTTTTCAGTGGTGTTGGTCGGCTTCCGTCTAGCGTCGTTGGCTTTTTTAGCAGCGTCGGCTAACTTTTCTCCGACATCGGTGGCTTGTTTAGCACCGTTGGTCGGCAAAATTCTAGCACCGATTGGCTTTTTCCGCAACGGTGGCTAGCAACGTCTCCATCGATTCGTCCTCTGGCGATTTGGATGGCTTTTGTACCGGCTTTTGTCCGGATTTGTTTTTCGTCTTTCGTTCTTTCGTTTCTCTTTAGCTTTGGTTACTTTGTGATTGATTGCTTTGACTCTATCCTTAGATCTGGGTGTGTATTTCTTTGCTCCTCCCTTGCTTAAAGGGCTTATTTCGTTCTTTGGTTTTTAATCAATTAAGAACGGATTGCAGTTGCAGAGCAAAGTCACGTTTAGTGCCTTTGGGTTTTTTGAAGTAATTAGGACTGAATTTATGGACCAATGCTTTGGATTCGATTGAATTTTTGTTCTTAGGTTTGATGAATGAAAGCCTATATTTGATGACCTGCAAAATTTCTTGAAGACTGAAAAGCACTTGATTGAAGAAGAAGATGAAGAAGAATTTCAGATTGCATAAGTGGAGTCATATTCTCATCAAAGCTAAACATGGAATTTCGCTTTGTTTCTTTGAGCGAAGATTGAGATATGTCGATTGAATAAGTTTTCCGGCGATCTTGGCCGGAATTGAAGCTTTTCGACGTCACAACGATCTGCCAGTGATCGGAGACTCCCACATCTTCGTCTTCCCACGTGTCTGCTAACCTGTTACCCACTTGCCACGTGTTATATGTGCTGTGTACAAGCTTTTCCTTCAATTTAGGGTTCTCTTATTGGGCTTTTGTTTTCTTTTATTGGGTTTGTTTGTTTTAATGTTTGTAAAATATTGGGCTGTCATATTTGGCTTTGTGTAATTTGGCTTTGTGTAATAAATAAAACACACTTGTGACAAAAAAAAAAAAGATTTCAACCATTTAATCAAATACTTAAAAGGAGGCTAACTCTCTCCAGGAGAGTGACACGTCAGCATTTTCAGCTATTGTGGAGCTGACACATCAGCTTTCTAGACATCCAATCAAAACATTTCGTTAATATGAGTCAGCTTTAATTTTTTACACATCAGCATCTAATTATGTAGGCCTGGGCGTTCGGTTTACTCGGGTTAATCGGTTCGGTTTAATCTGTTTTTTGATTTTTCGGTTATTTCAAAATCTCGCCGAATTGAACCGAACAAAAATTCGGTTCGGTTCGGTTCGGTTCTCGGTTTTATCGGCTCGGTTATATGCTTTTAAATCTCATCCGAATTGAACCGAAAATTATTTTTTCTCGGTTAATTCGGTTTATTTTCAGTTAACCGGAAATAAAAACATGCCCACAAAAAAAATTACATGCCAATTAACATATTTACAACTAAATAACAAACCTATAATATATTACAAGTCCAATAGCAAATTTACATCTTTACAACAGGCCCAATTACATTAAAAATTATGCTTTTCGAGTAAATGTAAGGTTGTCGACGGTGACAACACGATGACGGTAACGACACGACGACGCTGAAATACACTAACAGAATGAATTCGCGAGGCTCCTGCAATCATCACAATCGTTCAATAATCAAGACACCATCATAATCCATCAATGTAAACATAAAATGATCAAAGTCATCATCATAAACCAACAATAATAGGAGATAATGTTATTACCTCGATGGTATCAGGAAGAGTAACCTTTAAAGACTAGACGAGGCTCTCAAAATTGAAGGATCCCCACTGATTATTCTAGGAGAGACAGAAGAAAAAACGGCTACAAATGGAAGAGGAGACGCTAAGATCTAGGGTTTTATTTTATGTAAGGAGAAGCGGCTGCAAAGATATCAACGACAGACCTAGGTTTTTTATGCTAAAGAACTGGGCTGGGCTTTGTCTTCTATAAGTTATTGGATTGTATTTTCTTAATTTTTAATGTGAGTTTGTTTTAATGGGTATAGAAAATAATTATAATAATTGGGTTGGGCTTTCGATTGTTGTTTGTTTATAATTTCAAGTTTAAAGCCCAGCCATAGTAAATATTACTTAGGGTTTTCGTCTGTCGTCTCTCTCATCAGTTTCACGCGGCGGCTCCATGAAGAAACAGAGTAACAGACTGGTGAAGGAGAAGAAAATCGGTGCAGCTTCCTAAACTCATGGTTAGTGGACCTTAATCTTTATTTCTAATATAGTCATAATAGGTTTTATAAATTATTATTCCAGTGCCAGTTTTAATCTTGAATTTGACAACCCGAATCTATTAATATACATATGTATATTGGTAAGAATTCAGTTTTTACATTTATTTAACAAACTAATTAGCAAAAAAAAAAATGTAGACCCAGGTAATTTAGGTAATGGCGTAATGCTATACAAGACAAGAAAACTCTCTCACAATTAATAATTACTCAAGTTTAAAAACAAAACAAAATATTAAGCAGATACCAAATCAAATGAAACCAACGTCACACTTTTTGACAATGTCACCGTATCCACTTCTATGGTAGGACCTATTGGTTTCCCCATGTTTCTTATAGATATAGTCAACACCCTCTAAGATTAAAATCAGGAACAAAATTGAAAAAAAACCACTCCACTCCTTAATGCTGAGATGCCACTTCCTACCTACATTAAATACTTTCACATTCAGTACATTACTATTGAAACGTTATGATCTCTCATTTCCTTTCAATTTAATACTCATTTAATAGATAATAGTGGGTATTTTAACTCACACAAAATAAAAACTCTATATATACATTATTATCCACTCTTTAAATTCTGACGTAAAAATATAGCCTAATAACAAAACCTACTCCATATCACTTACAAGCAAAATGTCTCTCATGAATGCTCCTAATCAAAATCTAGCTACCTATGTTGCATTTGATGATTTACAACTTGGAATTCATGCTCAACATGTTGTTGCTCGTATTGTTAGAATGTGGGAAGTTCACACCGAAATACGTACCGTCACCGACCGTCATGTATTTCTCGGCCATTCACTCCTCCTGCTTGATGAGAAGGTATCCTTGTCCATTTAGTAGGAAAAAACAATTATATATTTTTCATTATTCTCTTCTCCATAAACTTCCAAATCTAACTACGTATCTTTTTAAACAGAATTCTGCAACTCATTGCTTCATCCCTGCATCACTAGCAGAAAAATACAATGGTATTTTCAAAGAAGGAATAATCTTACAAATTCAAGGGTTCGAAGTTAGGCCATGCACTAAACACAACAAAATCACAGACCATCCTTTTGTTATCAAATTCAACAATGAAACCACATTCATTGTTGAAAAAGAATCATGGCTGAAGATAGCAAAAGAAAAATTCAGAGTTCACAATCATGCTCATTTGGTTGGTCTTGCCAACACAAATCTTGCTTTGCCTGGTAAATTTTAACTTTTCATGATTTCCAATTTAATAATTTTTGTCTACTAAACAAAAGTTTAAGCTTTTTAACCTACCAAATATTTAAAACAACATGCTTTTAAATATTGCTTTCATATTGCCTGTTCTTTGGTTTAAACATATTTCCAACTCAATACAGATGTTGTAGGAAAAATAATTTCAATCCAAGGTTCAAACCTTTGTGACCCAACTTCAACAAACCAAATTGTTGTTAATTTATGGCTCCAACCGTAAGTTTCAAATCTAATATTCAAACATAATTGTTTCTAACCTTTCTATTATCTCTTTCCCAAAAACAAATTAATCACTTTGATCTTCATACAGAAATGTAATTGTCTCCTTGTCTCTTTGGGCTAAAACTGCTTCTCGCCTTCGAGCCATCCTATCTGGTCCAATCTCATTAACATCTGTTGTTTTGGTAACAGCTGTTAATCCAACAATTCTTGATGGTACGACTATTTTCCCAAACCAAAAAATAAATCCATATTTCCATTAAGCAATAATGTATTTGGTCTTCTAAATTAGCTTTACATGCAGGGACACTTTTCTTGGATGGAACAATATACACACGGTTTTTTTTTCAACCAACACATTGCGCCAATCTCTAAGTTTACTAATTGGTAAGTCTATTTTAAAATTTACCCACTATTTTTAATAAAATAAAAATACTAATAAAAACAAAACCTCTCTTCTTAAGTTTTGGTGTTTCAGGAAACCAAACATTTACCATCATCGACGTAGCAGCAAACAGCCCAAAAATAGAAACAACGTGTATTGCAAAATTGTGCGAATTCACTTCAAAAAGAGTTCAACAGGTATGTCTCACTTTTAGCCATCTAGGAAAAAGAAACTAATCTAATTAAAACCCACAATCACAATGAAATGTAGGATGCATACTTTCTATGCCAAGCTACAGTTGTGGATGTCTTATCAACATATGGCTGGAACAACATGACATGCACTACTTGTCTAGGGACTCTGGAACCACACCAAAATTCACTTCTTTGTAGTAACTGCCAAGACACCAACGTTTACACAAATGACAGGTCACATATCAATTCTTTAAACTAAATATACATTTCACTTGAAAACAAATATCTAATATAGCTTTATATACATTACAGGTTTCATGTCGCATTAGCTGTTTTAGACGGTAGTGATATAGCAACATTTATTGTATCAAATTATGACCTAATGCATCTAATATGTCCAATTTCATATGAAAAGTTGCACACAAAGGTAAACCAAATTTAAAACCATATTTTATAGTACATTTCAAATGGTTTTATACTAATATCTAACTCTTTTGGTTTCCAATTTGTTTACCCTATTTAGGTGAATGAAACCATCTTTCCAGACCTGTCTACATACATGGATGACCTCATAGGAAATCATTTTCTTTTCGAAATCAAAATCACTGCCTTCAATTTTTCAGAAGTTAACCGTAGCTTCACAGTAGCTAGGATTCCCAATTTCCCGGGTCAGGCTCAAGTAAGAACTATCGTATATTATTCCTCTTCTAAATTTTATTTACCATTCCATAAAATTTTAAAACAACTGAAAGGAGTATAATTATCCAGAAAACCTTCTCGTTGGGCACCCAAGACCTTCCATGACAGCCCTGATTTACTAATGAGCTTCAACACCAAAGATGGAGGAGTATAACATTTTCTCATTCTCGGCTGTTGGATTACTGAGAAGAAACATTGTCGTCCTTTTACGTTGTAGTTCTTCTTTTCTATTACCGTCTTTCAATCAAACATTGTTAAACAGTTGTTATTCCCAATTCACATTATTACTCCATATTTTGAATTATATCGTATCATTTTATTTGATCAGGAAAATAAAACCTTCTTTCTATATACTACAAAACAAAAGAAGCATCAGCTTAATACCATATATCATATTTATTTATTCCGCATAAAATAAAAACCCACCACCAACAAAACAAGGGCAGACACTAACATCGAAACATCTACTTTCAATATTTAAGAACCAGTTTATAGTTGAAATCTTCAGTTGGATATAATTATGACCTCCATATGTAGTATTTCATTGCTACATAGCTACTTATGATCAATCTAAACCCCTTCTCAAACTGTAATCCACTATTTTTCTCGTATATTATAAGCCACACAGTTTAGTCATATTGATATAAAAAAGTCAAAGCAAGAAATTTAACTTATACAAATGTAAATCGAGAACTCAATAATTATATTCTCATTATTAATAGTACAAAGCCCTTAATTGACAATGTATATAATTAATTGAGCAACTAATTCAATAACCAGTTGACGAAAAAAAACAAAAAAAAAAAACAAAAAAAATTCAATAATCAGTCTGTAATTCGTATTTTCCCAATCGTACAAATTGCTTTACCAACGTTGCCACAACCACACTATATCTTTGACGGCACCAATTCAACACTGTCCTTATAAAATTTCTGAAAGAAATAATCAAATTACCATCCTCCTCAAAAACAATTACGATTAAAATCTTTTTAAAAAAATAACAGGAACCACTTGTGATCCCCGTCGAACCAAGACACGTCAAATTTAAATATTTAAAGACAAACTGTTTAGTGGGAATATTGTAATTTTGAAATTTATTCAATATAGAAAATTTATGATTTTTGTCCAAAAAAAAAAAGAAGTAAATTTATGATTTAAATAACAGCCATCCTTGTAATCTATATATGGACCCGATGAAGAAAATAGTTAATGGTTACTCCAAATATATTCGAAATAAATATATTCGCCCACTAATCTGAACATTTAATTCGTAACATAAATTAGTAATTATTGAAACGAGGTAGTAAATTTCTCATTTATTCATATGCCCACGATTTCACCTTTAAAAAAAAAACCGTTTTAAAAAACGTTTTCTGGGAATCTAAAAAGAGTACCTTATAGTTTATTTCGCTTATTAAAACATCCTGAAATTACGACCAATTTAATTTACTTAATAATAAAGTAATCGTTCCTAATAACATGTTACACACATTAGTATTAAATGACCTGCTATATATATAACGGGCCACCAATCATTCATCACACTCCAAGTTTTTACGAATGAGTAGCAGAGTAAGCACATCATTCTCATCATTCTTTACCATCAACCCTTTTCTGACTATGAAATGTACAACTTTAAAATTTCCAATACATACTTATGTTGTAATCTCTAATATCTTCTCTTCTTCGTAATGCAGGAACATAACAAAATGACTGGAAAACAAAGAGCATCTAAACTAAGACAACATCAAGCCAAACCTCGTGCAACAGAAAAATCAACACCGCTTGATGCCCTCCCTCGAGATGTTATTTCAAAAATAATTGGAATTGTCGGCCAGACATCTCGTGCAGATGTTTCTAATTGCCTACTCACTTGCAAGGAAATCGGAAAATCAGTTGATGATGTCCAAGTTTTCAAAAAGTTGGAACTGCGAATGCTTCAGAGGCAGCCGTTGCTTGCTGTTGGGAACTACACTGACCTAATGATGAAATGCCTAATCCACGCTAACCCCTCCGCTCACTATGTTCAAGGAGTGCTTGAATATTTTTATTACGACAATACAATTGCTGGGTTACATTTTTTGGAAAAAGCTGCCAATGCACCATCCCCTATCAACGAGGCTATTTATCTAACTGGGATGATTAATTTGTGCAGTGGTGAGTTTGAAATTGGTAAAAAACATATTGACCACCTGCTGAGGAACACGAATGAATCTGTAGTTGAAGAATGCTGGGAAAAAATCAAAACTGCACTCCATGGAATTGGAATCCTGAGGAAGCAAGAATATATCAACTCACTATGGGCAATGATGCCACCATACATGTGTAACATAAATGACATGAAAAACACATGCGAGAAATGCTTCCACTACAAGCTAATGGTCAAATTTGTTTTCATGATGTAAGAAGGAAAAAAAAAAACCAGTTTAAAAGCCATTTTTATTATTTGATAACAAAATGTGTTTTTTTTCCCCTTGCTTTTCCCAGTAATCATGTATGAACGTCTGTTTTCTAAATTCTAATAATAATGTTTGTTTCACTAATACTTTATTAGCTAATATCTAAACACTTTATTCCAAAAAACAAGTAATAAAAAAAAACACAAACAAACAATATCATACCACAGTTCATACCAAACACATTTACAACAAATGATATTTAACACACACATGCAATGATGCAAACTGATCTGATATAAACAATTCCTACTGAAAAAATAACAAACCCAACATTATTGTCATTTAATATTCAAATTATTATATAATTATTATTAAATAGCCTAAATTTTGACTTAAATTAGTAAAAATGATTATTTTGCTGTTAATAATAATTAAAAATGTCATCAACTTATAAAAAAAAAACAATCATTTACCGGTTATAATGTTTCATCATATATTAGGGTAATTTTCAAACAAAATAATTAAAGCCTACGTTTTCCACACACCTTACAATCCATATTAACTGGTTATAAAAATTTCAAAAAATGAGAATAACCATGCATTATGCCATCCTAAAAGTAATTTACAACATCTGGTTATATTCTTTTAAAAGAAACTGTAACCTTTCATAATTTAAATCATGTTTCCTCAAACCATTGAAATATCTGAAGTAACAAAAGAATAATAAATACTGTAACTTAAAATCTTAGTCACAGTGTATCTACATTTGTTAAATAGATAACCATCAAAACGATAGTATGGAATGTAACGCAAACTATATATTGAAAAGTTAATCCGTATGTAGAGTTTACTTTGGAACAAAGGTAACCTCAATTAGATTTAAAAAAAATTAAAAAAAAACGAGGAAAAAAATATCTCAATTAATATATCAATTTTTTAAAAATGTGTACTCTAAAACTTGGTTATTTACATTCTGTCTTCTATTAATTCCATTAAACTTAGGAAAGTATAACATTCTGCAATCTTATATACCCATTTCTTTAGTTAAAACCACACCTACGCTTTAAAAATGTGTCCAATACAAATATCTGTAAATAATTTATTTAAATAATTAGATACTAAAACACTCCTTTACCACAAAAATACAACCCAGTACCCAATAAGACTCTTATTTAAAAATAAGATTTCTCTTTATATTCCACATCATAATAAAAAACCTACAAATTGGAGACTGTAAAAACTACAACTTCAGATTTCCGTACCATTAATTTATAATTTAATAAGTTTTAAAAATCCGTTTAAGCAAAACCTCCCACTAAAGATAGTATTAATTACAAATGTATTAAAGAAATACACATTAAATCTCATGCCCACGATTATGCCTTTTCGAATTACCCATGTATACTCTCAACTCTTACAAAAGCTAAATTAATTTATAATTTAATAAGTTTTAAAAATCCGTTTAAGCAAAACCTCCCACTAGAGATAGTATTAATTACAAATGTATTAAAGAAATACACATTAAATCTCATGCCCACGATTATGCCTTTTCGAATTACCCATGTATACTCTCAACTCTTACAAAAGCTAAATTAATATTTCTTACACAAACTTTCTTATGAGCATAACGTATACCCATTTATATGAAATTAATTTCTTTTAAGAAAAGAATTAAAAATAACATTCAAACTTCTTATTTCCAATTGAATGTAACATAACGTTAATATTTAATTAGGTCCCGTATAAATACATGTCACACACACTATCATCAACCACAAAGCTTCACCTCAGTAAGAATAGCGGATAAAGTAAGACTTACATTTTTTTAGCATTATTTTTAACGATTACAACCACAAAATATCAATGATAACACCTATTTTTACCGTCAGAGTAAACTAACATCATATCTTTTCTCTTTCAGATTCGAAGATCAGAATCAAGTTCACTCATTATGGCACCAAAGCAATCTGCAACAACAGTAGCACCCCTTGAGCCCATAGCTCTAGACAAGCTTACAATAGGAACATCTATGCAACATATTACTGTCCGTCTTATGCGAATGTGGGAAGCACGAAATTTCAAACGAAACGGAGAGCTTATGAGTCTCGATCTCCTTCTTCTAGATTCAAAGGTATAGTATGTTTAATTTGGCAACATATAATAAGTTATTTATAAAACAACTTTCCACAACTTATTTACCAACCCACAACATCCAGGATACTCTAATACAAGCTTCAATACACCATCGACGCATCCCTCAATTCAAGGATCTACTTATGGAAGGACATATTTACACCATAAGCAATTTTGAAGTCATCCCTTCTTATGACCGTTATAAGGTAACAAACAATAACAACTCAATACGTTTCATCGAGAACACGGAAGTAGATGAAGAAGAAGAAACTAGGTGCCTCATCAAGATGGAGTCCTTTAGGATGTTAACATACGCTGAATATGTATCATTGGCAAACAGCAACCTACAATTGCCGGGTACACTAAAACTATAATTTATAAAAACAAAACGCTTACATACAAGTAATATTCAAATAATTTCATTGAAGTGTCTTAAACCAATAAACTATCGTATTTTTCCCAGATGTCATAGGACAAATCCTAAGCATTCAAGGATCAAATCTTGAAGACGAAAATAGTACCCAAAAAATTGTAGTCATTCTCATGCTACGCGAGTAAGTAAATTTAAATTCATTATGTAATGTAATTAGTAAAACCAGTTTAACATAATATACCATTGTTTCTAATTCTAAACAGAGGAACCACAGTGAGAGTAACTATTTGGGATGACCAAGCATTATATTTCCGGAGAAGCTACCTCTTAAATGGTAGAGAAAGTGTTGTGCTTGTTTGCACATGCATGAATCCAAAGCTATTTGCAGGTATACACATAATTTACCAATTTAAATTATTTACATTAACACCTTCTTTAATAATGAAGTCCCAAAAAAAAAAAAAAAAATCCTAGGTACCCTATACTTGAACACAACTGGAGCATCGAAATTCTACTTCGAGCGAAAGCTTAAAGTCATAACTGACTTTATGAAAGAGTAAGTTTCTGAAACCTTGTCTTCAATACTAATTGTTTATTGAAAACCATCATATATAAACACTTTTATAAGTTCTAAATTTAAATAATTACAAAACAACTAACCATAATTATTAATTGTTTAACAAGAATGGGACTAAATAACCAGAGCAAACAGCCGACTGTTGAGGATGAAGTGAAACCAGGGCAAAATATGGAGACAATGAAGATCGGAACTATGCTGGATTACATATGTTCAACAAACAAACAGGTATATTCCTCCATCTTAAATAAAAAACAAAATCCCTGCTACTAATGAATATACACATTCAGCAATTGAACAACCAATGTCAATTTAAAATTAGGAAAAGGAAGTAATATGTAGAGCTAAAGTAAAGGCAATCTCTACTCGCAATGGCTGGTTTTACGTCTCATGCGCAAAATGCTCTAAAAAACTCGTGCGTGGACAAACTTCATTCACATGTACGAACTGCAAAGACTCGAATGCAATTGGAATAATGAAGTAAGTAACTCAGGCTATTAATAATACAAAAATTAAACATTTATTATTATCCTACTATCGTTTTAGTTTTATAAAAAAAAACATTTCAATTTAAGATTTAGAGTTGAGCTGGTGGTTGCGGATGAAAGTGGAAGAACAAACTTTGTTATTTTTGATAGAGATGCACGGAAACAGATTAACATGACTGCAGAAGAAGTTAACGCCCAAGAGGTAAAGGATTATAACACAAAAAAGCAACGAGTGTTTTAAATGATAAAGATTACTTGCATTCATTGTGTCGTTTACAAATTATGTAGGGGACAGATATAAACGGGGGAAATAATGAAGTTATACCCGACTGTATTCAGGAGATTGTAGGGAAGACTATGGATTTTCAAATCAAAATCACTAATTACAATTTCACATCCCCATATCAATCATTCACAGTATCCCGTGTGTTACATGTAGTTGAAGAAGAAGAACCAGAGGTATATTTATCTATATATTAATTTATTTATGAAAATGCAACATTAATTATTGATATAACATTACCAAGGACGAGAACAATGACGACAATCCCGACGATGGTGATGCCGGTGGCAAAGGGGAATATAACGGTGAGGAAGGATTGCTCGTCAAGGTATTCAATTAACCTAAACATCTAAATGACACTAATTTAACATTACAAACAATTGGAAATGACCTGTTTGTAACACGCATTTGAAAGGTTAAAAATGAAACAACGTCCGGAGATGACAAAGGCCCGAAGCATCCAAAAAGAAAATCGACCCAGCAGGAATGGCTCCTACTTCCTCTATGCCGAAAACCAAGAAAACTCGCACTGCTTAATTAGTTTTTAAACAAACCAAGTTATTTTAATGTAATAATTTCCCATAAACATTTTCGTATTTTCAATTAGCATTTATTCGGTACTCCCTGAAAAACATTTGTAAGGCATATTTGCAGATAATAAATGAAAAATAACTCAATTTCCATTCAAATATTTTCCAAATTTTCACCACTATAAAACCTCCTAATCAGGTTTATTTAACCATTCAGAAAAAATACATTCAATTAAAAATTATGGCTGTTTGAAATGCTCTGGTTAAAAGTAACAAATGAAAATTGACGTTGGAAGGCAAAATTGGATATAAAGTTGAAAAACGAAGGATACCTTATACAGAGCTGTAAGAAGTCATTGATTCGGAGAAATTTTTAAAAAATAAAAATTAAACCAAACTAAAATAAAAAATAAAAAATGATGAGTATTAGACCAAAAAAACAAAAAATACATTATTTATTTACAAACTAATTTTAAAATAAATCAAAACAAAATGCTTTACCCAATAATATCATCACAGTGAACGGTTTATTGCATAATACAAAACAAACAACAACCAATCCATAATATTATAAACCACAAACTATACTCGAGATACACTATAACATAAATATAGTATCACCAAGAATGTGTATTTTAAAAAAAATAATTAATTAGGAATTTGGTTTTAAGTTTAAGATGTTGCTATTAGTTTTATGTTTTTTAAAAACAAAAAATATGGTGTCACTTTTTGGTCAAAACATAACGTTCCTTAGAGC